CCCCCCCCCCAGCACGTGCCCAGACAGGGAATCAAGCCAGCAAACTTTTGATGCCTGGGATGACACCCAACCAACTGAGCCAGGAGCTCTCTCGCTCTTTTTTGCTTCCTTAACTATTTTATTATGGAAAAATTTAAATCTATATAAACATAGAACTGTACATCGAAGTCCCATGNTCTTTTTTGCTTCCTTAACTATTTTATTATGGAAAAATTTAAATCTATATAAACATAGAACTGTACATTGAAGTCCCATGATTCATCACCAGCTTCAACAATTACTAATCCACGGCCAATCCTGTTTCATCTATATTCCCACCTACTCCCATTTCCAAAATTANCGAAGTCCCATGGATTCATCACCAGCTTCAACAATTACTAATCCATGGCCAATCCTGTTTCATCTATATTCCCACCTACTCCCATTTCCAAAATTATTTTGAGGCAAATACTAGACATTGTATCATTTTATCTGGAAACATTTCAAAAAGTATCTCTAAAAGATAAAGTTTCATTTTAAAAATTACACACCACCACCACCATTATCACAACTAAAAACAATAATATTAATTCCTTAATATCATCAAATATCTAGGAAGTGCCCACTTACAATTTTTTTTTTCTTTTTCATCTTGACCCTTTCATTTTTTTTCTTCAGGATGTTTGTTTGAATCAGGATCCAAACAAGTTGCATACGTTGCCACTGGTTGATATCTCTTTTATCCTTTCACTAAAAATATAAATATATAGTCACACTTTTCCTTTCTTGGATAAATGGTAACACTCTATATCCTTAAAAAACCCTAATAAGACATGCTAGAGATCACCCACAGCCATGCAGGGAGAGCTCCCTCCTCCCCTTTACGGGGGCACAGTCTCCATTGTGTGATGTGCCACAGTTGACTGAACCAGTCCCCTCCCGATGGACCCATGGGTTGTTTCCAGTCTATTGCTGTAACAAATAGTGCTGCAGTGAGCAGGTTATGTCTTTTTATATTTTTGAGTATATTTTAGGGATAGATTTCTGGAGGTGGGATTGCTGTGTCAAAGGGCAAATACTTAATGTCCTTTTGCTAGATACTGCCCAATTTCCCTCCTTAGGGTGGTACCATTTCACCTTCCCAGCAGCAATGCCTGATAGTGTCTTTTTCCTCACAGATTATGTTGTCAAACTCTTGGATTTTACCTAGGTGAAAAGGGGTATCTCAGGGTAGTTTGCATTTGCATTGGGGAGGATTTTGGTATACCAAGAAGTGAGCGGTCATCATTTTCTTATTTATCCAGGACTATAAAAACTGCAGTCGATCCCCTCTGTATGTGTTATGTGAATGACCATCAGAATGAAGTGGAACTGCTGAGCACCTATGACTTCAGGGTTAGTTTTATTAAATTGTGTTTATAAAATCCGTCTACAGTGCTTAATCCACATGTTGCCTCATGTGAATGACTGTTGAATGTCACATACTATCAGAAATGGCACACCAGGCTCAGGGCTTTAAGAAGAGCAGGGTCTGGGAAGATGGGAGGGGTCCCATGGGCAGCTCTACCTGTCTACTATCTTGGGAGGCTTCTCACTGAGTCCTGCCAGGGCCCCGTTTTAGGAAAGGGGTCATTTTCCAATGCCTTCCTGCTATTCCAGCCACAGGGTGGTGTGGTGGCTCCCCTGGCTTGCTGCCAGATGGCTAGAACACCTTGGAAAGGGTGGCACAGAAGGCGAGGACTGGCAAGGATCTTGCCCACAGTGAGGATGTGGGCCAGTAGGACTCTCAGTGAGGATATGTTGTTAGTCGTGGCAATTTTATGAAGAACAGAACCTCATCTACTTTATCTCCCCCAGCCCACCTCCCCAGCCTCACATCCTTCCTAACAGGATGGTTCCCCTGGGCACTGGTTTAGCTGAGAGACAGCATCTTGTGTACTAGCACAGGTGGCAGGAAACCAGAAGTCAGTCTTTGAGTGTCAGTCTGATTTCAGTCTTTAACCGGCCATTTCTAACAATGGGAGATACAGTAGATGGAAAGACTGGGGATGTCATCATTCCATGCCATGTCATGTCATGACAGTGATGCAGG